ACATTTTCTCTGTTCTGGGAATCCGGCTCAAGTCTGAGAAGGTGCGTATTCTTCCATATCTTGGATGCTGCACCACCTCCACCCAGACCCGAGTATCATCGGCCCAGTCCTCCGAGCTGACTGGTTCTCCAGCCAGCGTGCCTGGGCACGGGGCTGTACCTTTTCTCTCGGTGTGTTCTCGGGCGGTAGCGTGCGCGATGACTCCTTTCATAGAGCGTGTTGTGGAAGACGGTCAACCCCGCTTAGTCGCCTACTTACCAGCCATCGAGAACGCCAATGTTATCCTCACCGAGCTGCTAAAAGACGTCTCCCGCCCACCGATGATGCCATCATACACAGTAAGCTTTTAGGAATGTCTGCTCTCGGTAAGGCCTCTCTGGCCTCTGACAAGGATGTCACTGTCGTTTGTCAACCGGTACTGATCGACAAGTGGGACCAATCGATCCGTACTTCCAAGCAATGTACATTTCCTCTCAGCGATGTTGAGCTCAAGAGGTATCGCCTTACTATCATCGACTGTCGCCCACTTAACAACTTTCGGCTACTAGTGGATGCTGACGCTACCTTTCTGTTCATGCCGGTCGACGGTGCTCAAGGCACCAGTTGCAAGGGTAACGAGGAGCACGTCTACAAGCAGTATCAGCTCGGTACCATTGTGCTTCTGCGTGATATTCCGGGTGAACACACGGGTTATTGGAGTAAAGTTCATCTCGAGGATGCCTACGGTGCTCTCCGCGTTTCAACTGCTCTCTCACGGCTGTCCGGCACTGTCAGTATTAACTTTAATGGCCAACAGTATGTATAGAGGTTGAGAAGCCTCGCTCAAGGCTGGCGATGGGCTCCCCTGTAATTTCAACTGGCAATGACCACTATCATGGATGGAGATACTAACCCGGCCCTTGCCAGAGCCGGATCGAAGGCCTCAGTCATGCATGTTCAAGACGATATTTTGATCGCCAGTTGTGACATTGACGCCGGTGACCGGGCGTTTATTATCGTCACTGATATTCTACAGCGACGTGCTGGTTTTATCGTCAATTGCGTCAAGCCCCAACCTCCTGGGAAGGTCGCTGGCTTCTGTGGTCTCCAACTTTGTGCGAAGATCTACCGGCCTACGCCAAGCCGCAGGGAGTTTACTGAAGCCACCTACACTGTGGCTCTAAATGACTCCATCAACTGTAATCCCAACAGAGGCAAAAGAGGTAAGAAGAAAGCTGCTACCACGGGCAATCAACTGAGGGACCGTCGTCTACAGTGGCTCAGAAGCTGGTGTGGTGTCCTCAAC